ACAAAATCGTGCTCGAAACTTATCCAAAAGTGTGGTGCTGTGGGTACATTGGATGATCCACAGCGCTCCGCAAGATGATCGGGTAGTCGAAAACAATATAAGGCATTATTTAAATATTGAAAGTAACCTTTAATGCATTCTGTATAAGGTCTTAATCAAAACGCATGCGTCCAAAGAGTTATGACAGTTCAAAATGCAAGCTTGTAAAAGGACAATGTTAAAATTGGCCTAAGAACCAACACCAATTTGGCATTTATGATAATTCTTAGTATATTTTTTGCGATAATTATCAGTATTTAGATTGTGACGGACACTTCCAGTTAAGTAAGCTTAATTAAAAAGTTAAAAAATAATCTGAGACAATAAATACCATTTTATGTGTATAATCTATGGCAGGGCTGCAAATAAAACACTCTTTCTTCCTAATGCCGGCACTTCACTTGGCTATTCGTATTTGCTATTTTAAAACATGACATCAGTCTGTCCTTTTCATTCCTTATTAAGCATGACAAGGACAAACTGTTGTCAAGTGAAGGGTCTCCATAAAACTCGTTACTCTGTGGTTCTGGTGCATGCAGTTTGCATTTGTAGTAATCTGTGGCATTCGTGCATTCCAAACCATTTAAAGTGATCTGTGATTCCAAAGAGTAGTTTAATAAACCGGAAAGTGCACACTCGTTTCGGATTACCTGTTGTGTGTGTTTATTTGCGATTGTTTTTCCTTTAATTTAACTATTTCGGCTATCTAATATGCCATCGATGTTACCAAAGAGCAGAGGCCTTATTACCAAGTGCTAGTGAACCTGTGCCACAACATCCTGAGAGGATCATACTGCCAATTATTCAAGAACACCTGATACACATTCACGCTGCATATTTACACAATATACCTACATATGATATACAAATAAATACAATAAACAATATGATACAACTACGTGAAAAATAGTCAGTAAATAAGAAGCAAAACTATAGTTTTTATTTTATTCATGATTCCTACCTAACCAAGTTTTTCCTAATAGTTATTCTATAAAATCGCACCGAATAAAATGAATTAACTAGGTGTAATACTAATTCACTTCATACTGAGTTTATACTAAATTCATAGTTTGACCTATGTTTCATTGAATATTAAACATAACCTCAAAAAAAATTTAGTTTTCCTAATAATTGAAGTTCTCAGAAGTGTCCGTCAATAATCTTTGTTTTTACAGTCATTTACTTACGATTTTGAACCTAGAAAATAATATTTCATGATTGTTGGTTCTTAGGCTAACTATGTATGGACGCTGAACAATGTCCTTTTACGACTTATTGCTATATGCGGAAGAATAGACCGTGAATGCGATGCGAATTATATACCTTATTTCTTTGACTATGCTAAATTCTCAATGCGCTGTTTGCAATATAGCAGGTACGGACCGCGAGGAAAAGAGACGGCTATATGACCGTCCATGCATTTGAATATCACAAATATATTCTATTAAATCAGTTTATAAGTATTAGAAAACAATTTGCTTCGAATATGTTAAATTAACAAAGATTGATTAAATACCTGTCGGAAAAACGACACTTTATATACTATAAGTATTTTTTTCGCATTTTTTCATGGAGCTCTGCGGCAACTTGACTTTTGCAACGGTCCGCGCATGACTGAGAACCAAGAATTGCTTGAGTGGTGTTTAAGCACAGTATTTTGCTAGTGTTGGAGTTTAGCATCAAACATCGTAGACAGATACAGTGTCAGCAAATATAGACCAATTTCTATCTTAACAACTTTATGAAAAAAATGAAAAAAAAAACTTAATAGTAACTACATGAAACCTCAAAACTTATTGGCTCCAAATCAATATGGTTTCAGGCCAGGACAGTCAACCAAGGATGATGTTTTGGAGCTCACTAGTTAGTACAGTATTCAATAATATTAATAATAAATTAAATTCTTTGTGTTTTTTTCCTAGATATTTCTAAAGCTTTTGACATTGTATCTGTCCCCATTCTCTTACGCAAACTTCAGAGGGGTGTTAGGGGTATTTCTTACTTGAATTATTCAAAAGCTACTTAAATGTGCGAAAACAGTGTGTTCGGATAGCTAATTATACAAGTCAGGAAGAATCTATTGAATATGGTATACCATGGGGTAGCGTCCTTGGACCTACCCTGTTTCTTATATATATGAATGATTTATGTCAATTAAGACTGCCAAATTGTAAAATCCTGTCTGATGCCGATGATACAGCAATTGTAGTAAATGGGAAAACTTGGGACGGGGCTAGGATTTCCGCTGAATTGGCTTTGAGCATGCTGACATTAAATATTAATAAAACTAAATTTATTACATTTGTTCCCAGACTCTCCTTACAACCCGATTCGGACTAGTGTTTGATATCACGCAATTGTAATTTGCCAGCCAGTAACCCATGCAATTGTGTATCAATAACACGTACAAATAGCATTAGATATCTTGGGGTTAATGTTAAAAATCTGTTATCGTGGACCGACCACATCCGATCTATCACTTCACGAACCAGAAAGTTAATTTTTGTTTTCAGCAGACAGACGTTTTGTTGACTCTCATATCCTAAGAACTGGATACTTTTCTCTAGCACTGTCAATAATATCGTACTGTATAACGGTTGGGGGTGACTCTGGAAAGTCAAAGATGTTAGAACTTGAAAGAGCACAAACGGCCATCTTGAAAATTATGGCATTTAAACCTATTAAGTACTCCACCCAGTTAGTGTATGCTTTCTGGTAGGTACTTTCTGTCCGCAAGTTATTCGTACAACAAGTCGTGTTACGCAAGCATATGGTACCTACTCCCATATGACCCTTGCAGCCTTCTAAATAAAAGAAAGAAAGGCAATGTATGTAAAATTCTAAATTCTCGACATAAATGTAAAATCAAATTGAGCGGGCGGTTACTTGACTTGGAATATGACACGGTGGAATCATTGATCAAGTAAAACACGCACATACACACACACAGTGTAATGTATTATTAAAACCTTGTATATTTATAATCATGTCTGTAATGTGCCTGTCTTTTGAGGTAGGCCCTAATAACTGTAACACAGTCTAAGACTCGTATTACAGAATGTCAACTAAGTGTTGATCTTTATTTGAGTACAGTTAGAAAGGGATGTCGCTATGTGCTATATAGCGACATCCCTTTCTAACTATGCTCAACGGGCCTAAGGGTGCGGCCAGAGTGCACTCAGATTCAGATTCAGATTCAGATTTCGAAAACAAGCGCGAGAAATAAACAGTGTAGTCGAAGGGTACGGCCAGATTGCACTCCTGATTCAGATTCAGATTCGGACTCAGAAAACAAAGCGCGAGAAAAAGCAGGCAACCTGCTTAGACTACACTGTTTATTTCTCGCGCTTGTTTTCAGAATCTGAATCTGACTCTGAATCTGAGTGCACTCTGGCCGCACCCTAAGGCTCGTATTACAGAATGACAACTAAGTGTTGATTTTTCTTACATCACTTTCTAACTGTACTCAAAGATCAAGACTTAGTTGTCATTCTGTAATACGAGCCTTAGCCTACTACGGTTGTTAACGCTAAATTGTTATATATATTGTATACTTGTCATGGTTCAGAAATATAGATTATTATTATAAGACTCTAAGCTTTAAGCTTTTTTTGCTATAACCTAACCGAGGCCGTATTTTGAATTTTTAACGTTTGAAAAAACAGCGTTTGAAGCAACGAATATGAAATAAAATGAAATACTGACTGCGCTCAAAAGTAGTTCCACGCTAACTGCGATCAAATGGGCGGAGCGAAAAACAGATATCAACACGTCAATCATGGACTTAGCTGGGACTTCCGTTTAACATTATCCTGACCAATGAATGGATAGCTAAATTCATTTGCAGTTATCTGATTCGTCAAAGTATTTCGTTTTGTCTGTGTGCGTATCGCGTTTGTATTGAAGTTTAGTTGTATAAGTTAGAAACCATGTTTTAGCGGCCTTTGTTAGAGAGTAAAGGCAGAAACAGACTTATGAAACGCGACGTCACGCCACACCACTCGTATTTTCTATGGCGCGTGATTCTGATCATAGAAAATAGTACATTTTGGATTGAATCAATACACGTGGCGTGGCGTCGCGTTTCATAAGCCTGTTCTGCCTTAATGATTCCATAAAATTTTTAGTTCGTTGGTTTGAAGCCAGATGCAGTTCTACTATGCGTTCTACTTACTCTAACAATAGAACTTGTTTTAACAGTTCATATACGGCCTCAATTGTCTGTACGTGACCGTTTTGAGGCCCAAGCACGAACTTTGACAGATCCGTAAAGCCGGGTACTCATTAGCGAGCTGTAACCGTAACGTGCGTGATACAGTACGAGGTTCTAGTGTGTACGCTTGTAGCTCAGTTGTAAACGTCGGCTCGCTGCAAACCGCACGCGTAACGCTCGCAGCAGGTTAGCGAACCACGTACATCATCATCATCATCATCAGCCTATTAATGTCCCCACTGCTAGGGCACAGGCCTTCCCTATGGATGGATTAGGGAGATTGGGCCATGACCCACCACGCGGGCCCAGTGCGGATTGGCGGGTGCTAACGACTGCAGATGCAGCCGGCACCAACGGCTTAACGTGCCTTTCGAAGCACGGAGGAACTCAAGATAGTAAATTTTTGGTCACCCATCCAATGACCGACCACTGCGAAAGTTGCTTAACTTCAACGATCGCAGCCGAATGCGCTAACCACTTGCGCCATCGAGCTCCTCACCACCACGTACACACTGCTTTTTGGTTACAGTGCATACAACGGTTACGGTTACAGCTAGCTAATGAGTACCCGGCTCTATCGTATCATGATCATCAAATTTGTATACAAGGAGCCAGTTTGTTCTTACGTCCGGTAGGGGCGCTGGTTCGTTTTCATAGAAACTATGGCGATGCGATACGATTACGGCCTTTGATTTCTATTCGTATTTATAGGATAGGTGTTAAAAGTGTATAACAAATAAAAATACAATTGATTTTCAAAATGAAATATATTTTATGGAACCCGTAGCGTTTCTTAGCTGTTTTTATAAAATTTATACAAATTGATTAATATTTTTCTAATTCAATATTTTTTTTAACAATTATTTTCACATTGATCTATAATTATATACTTAAACATTTCGTTAAACATTATTATAATTATTTATACCTAGTATCTTGGGGAATAATTGGCACCATTTTTCTTTCATACATAATATAACAGACTTGTTAATGGTATTATTGATATTTTTAAGGTTATTCGGATAGGGGGAGATATTTAATATTCCAAAGAATACAATAAGAAACGCTAAATTATTAAAATAAAATGTGAGATTCAAAGACAGAGAAGAAAATGTCGGCTGGACTAAACGAAGATATAAGTATAAACCGCAACTTATACACAAAACCAGAGATAAAAGTTATGATACAAACTATTTTAGACATTAAACACTGGTACACATGATTTATTCTCAATTGAAACTGCTAAAATAAATAAAACTTTAATAGTAACAAATTAATAAATAGGTCGGAAGTATATAAAAAATAAATCACTATAAATACTTAGAAACTAATTAAAATGTATTCATTAATTGAAACTATCGCTTGATACCACCGTTACCAGAATAAAGCGAGAAAAGAATATCACGACCATACAACTTCATTAAAGTTTAACTGTGTTTAACTTCTTTATAAATAATGTATGTAATAACTTTTGAAAAATGTGATGTTTAGAGTTTTGAACTATAATAAAAAAATCCTAACATTTATAGATAATTTATTTTTACATGATTTATGGTCGTGTTTCGTAAAACTAGGCAAAGTGAATTAAATAAATCCAATTAAAATCTATTAATAATATTCTAATAATGCAGGCTCGAAAAAAACTAAACAGTCAGAAAATTTATAAATTGTTTAAGCCACTTGGGTGATTATTAGAAATATTTTAAGCTTACTTTTAAAAATATCCATATGTCATAATCATAATACTCATTAATACAAATAAGAAATTAATATCAATGTCAGATAATTTCAATAAAAAAGCATAGGTAAGTATAAAAAAATTGGAATGCGTTACAGTTAAATTACAGACAATCTCAGTCAGGTTATGAATATGTTTTTATAAGACAGACATTGAACTGATGACCAGCATCGGTGAAACGGCTACATATTCTGTCTCGGAAACCGGATAGATTTATTAATACCTAGGAGGTGATCTAAAATATTAAAACGAAATCTCCAATGTATATTACACTCCCATAGCTACCAAGCTTATAACACTTAATAACACAAAATATTAAAATACACTTATAAATGTCCTTACGTTTACACATTATCTAAAAAATATGATAACATTACAATTAGTTGCAAACATAGTTGAATATGTCGCTTGATAGACTAGAATACGTTGAGGATAGCAAGCAAACGTCAATCGGAGGAACTTGACATTCATATGCTTTTTTTATTTTTTTTTTGTTGGTAAAGCGGTGGAGTTACGTTGACCGTTTGTTTTGTACGTTGTTTGCTTTACTGTGGTGTGTTTTCACTCGGTTGGGTTGTGCCGAGATGGCGGCTTGTCAAGATTTGGCGCGAAATGTTGGGCTGGCTGTTGGCGTTAGCGTTTCCCGACGAAGTCGATCATTTGATCTATCTGTTCCTCCTCGTCGTAGAGGTACAAAGACTCCATACAACCCTTGAAGAAGGGCGTTTGGAAGCATTTTTCCCTGCAAACACAAAGTATAAATATAAATATTGGTCTTAAAATCGAAGCCGTTTAAAATGGGTAAGTCATTTGATTTTGACTGTGCTTTTATCGCATTGTAATTAGGGCGATGTTAGCTATTCCATTCGTATATAATACACTGCCATTGCTTCGACTGTACGAAATTGGAAATTTAGAATTTCTTAATATTGTCACTTATCTAATCTTACATATGAATACTTTAACTTGAAGTTGGTTTTGTAATTTATTGACTCTGAAATTGCATTTGAAATACTGTTTATTAATATTGGGTACTTCAAAGTAAATAACATGCATAGTTTAAGTCCTGTACTAGAAGCTTAGCTAGTATAAAAAGTGTTAGCTTTAATAAGTAGTACCTAGCGGTAATATGAAAAGTTAGTGATTGTAGTTGAATAATTCATGCGCTACTTGGAATGAGGAGGTTCCATATCCGCTGCCCATGCAAAATATATTAGATAGCTATGAGATTTAAAATTCACAACAAAACTGTAAAAAAAAACATTTGAAAGAATATTTAATCCGTAAACATATATTGGAAGAAAGACATGAAAGTTTGTAATTTTTCATAGTGTCTGAAACATTAACCCCCTTTTTAAAAAACGACGAATGAGATTAGATTAGTTACTCTATGTATTGTCTCCGTTCATAAAATTAAAAATGGCTAATAACTTGAGTGACATGAACAAAACACGGTGTAACTAGTCTAAGCTTATTCGTCGTTTATTAATAAGGGGGTTTTTATCCTTTGATTATTTACTCTCTAGATAGAGCGTCATCTAGTAAACGCTGCGATAAAAACAGACCAGGTTTTATATGCTTGTGTGCGTGACACGCAAAACAAAACACGCGACTCTTGTATCTTACACTCGCGAAATGTCATTATTTTTGTCTCGGTGCGCATGCGTAAGATACCAGGCTATGCCACAATTCCCAAAAAAGTGGGTAAACTTAATCAAATCAAAATTAGTTATATGCTCACACAATTAAAAATCATGGACGTTGAAACATCTGTAAAGCGTATGAATTTATACTTGGATATTTGAAATAAAAAATATTTGTAACAAATTTTTATTCAGTTTATCTCGATAATAGCCATGATAATATAGAACAACAATAATATTTACTTTTTTTTTCATATTATGATGATTAAGACTTTGATTTTAGTAGTTTAATATTATTTATCTTTAAAATTTGACATATTATACAATACATACCTCGGTGACGCAAAACTTGTTTTACAATTATTTTAATTTATTATTTTATTAAAATGAACTGAGCTTAATATAACCGTAGTTTTGTTTGTTGCCAGAAATCTCCTCCACGACTTCTTCTTATGACGTCCACCCACCGACGCCTGGAAATAGTGGACTTTATAAAAACAAAAAACTAGAAACCTCCGACGGTTTAAACCTCCCTTTGTCATATCTCGGCAGTGAGACAAAAATAAATTCATACGTATTTTGAAATTATGTGGCAGTGGAAAACCGCTACAAAATCCGTTAGGTTGCCTTAAAGTTATAATTCCAAAATTTCCAATTTCAGGGTTAAGACGCGATTTTTTTCTATAGTGTATTATTATTATTCTATTAACCTTAGTTCTAACAATTAAATATAACTGTGGCACGAACATGGTCCGAGAATATAAACAAAGCCGAGTACTATTAAAAATTACATTACTGAAAATTAACTTTGTCCAATAATAATCGGTTAATTCTTTGGCGTGGATTATGAAACACTTTGAATAGTCCTTTAAAGTAATGAAAAATATTTTTGTCATGTTAGTTTGTATAAATTGATATGGATAGATGAAACAGGTGAGTTTTTGAACTCCACAACTTTCGAAAAATAGACACTTGATATCGTGTCACTGCAGGTTATGTGTGTACTTTTAATTTTATTAAATAAAAGGTATGTTCGTCCTTTTAGAAAAGGATTAAAGTCTCTTGTTCTATAGCTCTCACTGATGAGTGAACGGGATGCCGTTTCATGAGTAAAAGTACTCATCAGTCTTAGTTATACAGTATTTTTCTCTTTATTTAGAGTTTTTCAAAAATCAAGAAAATTTTTGATATTCCGTCCAGTTTTCGAGACGATTAAATTTATATCGATATAAAAAAAAACTTTTCTCCATCGCACTGCTGCAATTGATTTCGTCATACTTACTTTTTTGGGGAATTTGTAATGAGACACTGACATCACTTTGAAAATGTCAAGATGGAGTCCTACATTATTTAACTACTATGATGATATAGTTCTATTTTATTGAGTTAAATAATGAATTACTTAGTGATGGTAAGTGGCTTTGTTGGTTGTTTTTATGCCTCTTTATAATTTCGGAAAACTTTTATCGCGCATCTCGGCATTTCAAAGCGATAATTTCAACACGAAACTGAAATTGAGGTGCGTATCGCTCAGCGTTACATTGAACACTACGTACGGGAAACGACTTAGAGTCAAGCAGTTGGCTAATATTTTTTTCAACGTCATCTGCGCCTCTACGCTCTATCTAGGAGTAAATTATCAAAGGTTTTATCTTCCTTTTCTGTCTAATGTCTTTTTAAGATTAAGTTAATATTTTGAGAAAGAACGTTTTGAGCAGATTATGTTTTAAAAAAAAGGGTGTGTATACTTATGTACGCGCGTGAAAAGTTATATTTCTTTGGCATCATTTAAAATTAGTTTTTAATTGCATGCAAATAATGAATTACAATAAAATAATTGTAATGGAAAAGCATTGTTATTACAGTCAATAAAGATCAGTTTTATATTTGAAAATTAAAAATCAAAATGATTGTTCGATCAATAGTTTAAGATCGATTAGAAAGTCGTGCAGTTCAAGTTAGAAAGAGGGTTAGTTGTCGTGCATTACGTACATTAAGTGTCAGTGAAGGAAATCAATACATGCTTGTGCTTGTGGCCCCAAAATAATAAATAAATAAATAAAAATATATGGTTTAAGCTTTTCAATACGCTTCATCAATGCCGATTACTCATTCAAGTATCTTTCTACTTTCTAGATCAAGCAGAAACCATAGAGTAGATAGAAATGCCATAGATTACTAGCAGCGGCAGGTTTAGAAGGCGGAAAGAAGAAAGGGATGCGTATGCATCAGAAGAAAAAAAAACAAAAAAAAAACGAATGGTACCTAAATCCCTGGATCAGCCCCGTGTATCTGTTTTATATAAGTCTTGAATAGTTCGAGTTGGTCCGTCTCCTGTAGCACCTCGACGCACCCTTTGAAGTAATCTGTGGTGAAGCAGTCTTGCCTGCCCCAACAATCAATTGTTCAATCAAATGTGTAATTTTACGTGTTTCAATATACTTAATAAATGTACATCAAAGTCTTACTAGTAAGAATTTACTGAAATAGATTTATCAGAACCGAATGTTTCTGAAATATTGCCAATTAAAAAAATGTAAGTAATTAAAACGCACAAGAATTTGTACGCCCTAAACTACTTCACCTTTTGTAGATAGATGGCGTTGTATCAACTTAAAAATGTCGGAAAATCACTGCCTATATAGTGCGACAAGGAATTTTTATTAATGCGGCGAAAATTGGAACTAACGCCGCCGTCTTTGTAAACGTCATATTTTGTATGTCATTTACGTAGACAGTGGCGCCCAAAGAGGTATAAGAATAGAGTGGGAAGGCGGCTCTAAAAGTGTCCGTCTAGTAGAAAGAGAAAGAAGATGAGAGACCGCTAGCTATCTCTCTCTCTCTCTTGTGACGCATGCGCAGTCGTCTGTCCAATAGTTGGTCCAAGCATCACATCGAAATAGTAATATGCTTACGGTTGCCAATGCTCATACGCGATTAGAGAGCGAAAGCTAGCGGTCTCTCATCTTCTTTTTCTTCCTATTAGGGGGACACTTCCACTTGTAGAAGAGTCTATATCTCCCCTACTCTATGCTTATACCTCTAAGGTGGCGCCCTCCATGAACTGTCACTCACATTCATAAAGATCCTTGCTGCACCTCGGATGGCGTTGTTACAAGAAAACAAAAGAAGCTCACCTGCACAGAGTATATAGCTGCGGTTCCCTGAAGAGGTTGTAGCAGTCGTCGCAGATGCGGTCGAGGCGCGCGAATATGGCCGCGTCGTACACCCCCTTGCACTGGAGCGTGAAGAAGGAGCGCCGCGCCACGTGGTGGGGCGTCGCTGCCGCGGCAGGGGGCGCCGCCGCCGCGCCCACGGCTAGCGTCACCAGAGCCGCGCACACCACTTGCACTGAGCTTAGATGCATCTGGGGCCAAACAAACGGAATCTATCAATAATTATGTAAACAATGATCAGCCGTAAAGTATTGAACTGAGTTTAGATGCATCAGCGCCCTTAAAAAAAACTGAAAAAAAACATGTCCAATAATATAATAGTCTACAATTTTGTTAACCTGTCTTCTCTGGTTAGCACCAACGCCTAAGTCGCATTCTGGGCGAATGGGCTAACGTCCACTAAGCCAGCGGTGCCCAGGAAGTGCGGAATGAGAACCGACACGTCAAATGTCAATCCCATTATTCGGTCTCATGATGCCGCTTAGTGCGTAAAAGGTGTAATATTGAAGTACATTATAACAAATGACAAAGCTACTTTAAAAGTTGGTACCCATCGGGCAAATCGGGCCACAATGCAACGCGACGAAAAAACTTGTCGCAAAGCCTTCATAACTTTCAGGCAAACTTACATCAAAGTTTCAAAAAGAAAATGCTTTCAGGTTGGTTCATATCGCTTAAATTACTTAATAACATTCTAATATTTAGGTAATTTAAGTTCAAAAGGAACGGTCGTTGAGTTAACAATTTTGGAGTTTGTCACAGTAAGATTAATTATAACAAGTTTCATAAGAAAATTAAGAAATTTTAAAGTATTTTAAAAAGCGACAAACTTCTATGATTAAGTACCAATCAATTTCTTTGAATCGTAATTTTACAGTCGGTCAGTAAATGTCTCTTATAAATTGCTTGTTAAGTAAACGTACGTACATTTACATACTGTGAATACTATCGGCACATTTCGAGGTGCCGTTGAGTCTGTTACATCGAACCAACGAGTTAAGGCCCGCACGCACACAACACGAATCCAGAGAGAAAGGAAGGCCAAGCTTTACTGGTAAAGGTGCTATTCCGATCTCGGCTGCATGCCGCTGCAAGCAAGCGTGGTCGCAGCCTGCAGCCGAGGTCGGAATAGCGCCTTTGTGGCTTTAACCTCCCTAGAGGTTTTTTGTACCTATGTAGATAAGATAGTTTAAAGAAAATCTGTATCTTTACGAATTTAAAGATGGATGCTTTACGTATGTAAATAAAAGATAAGACTACTAATTTGTTGAAATGTAATCCTTATTTTAAAGGTTCATAATAACTTTATAGATATTCACAGAGAGCAGAAGCATACCTCAGTAGATATATTTATTAGATCTAAATTTGTTGAAAATAAATGCGTCTTTTTCTCTCTAAAAATCGGAGACTTTGATGGTATTAAAATAAAAAGATTTTATTTTAAAAATTGGCAATCTATCTTAATTCCATAGGAATCGAACTCTGGAGAGACGATAGCGTCAAGTTCTGCGTGGTCACCAAAGACTTTAAGATAGCGACCTAATATCTGTTTTCTTATATAATGCACGTAAAGCAACATGCGAATGTTCAGCGCGTATCGCGTTGGGTGGCAGCCGGGCAGTCTAGCTCGTCGCAGCGTAATTACTATGCAGGGCGTGCGCTCGTGTGCGCTGTGCACTGTGCACCTAGAGTTACCAGATGATAAAATCAAAAGTCCGGAGAAAAGGTTTGATTTCCATTGAAAAATCCTGAGATTTTTTACAGTTTGAGAATTTTCTCTCAAACATACTTAACAATTTAAAAAAGTCGTAACATTATCGTTTATACTGTGCATATACTTTTAAATCAATATAATTTGAAGAGCTTAACATGTGGCCCATTATATGAATCCATAATTAAAGAAAAAACCTTAATTAAAAATGTATCTTCAGATATTAAGTATGATAAACTGATTAAGTACCGTCTTGGATAATAAAGTACCGATTTTAATTGTGCAATAATTACCAATAGAAGATTATTTTTAGTTTGTATAACTTTTTATAAAAGAGATCTTTAAAACGTAAGCTGTATTTTATTGGAAATTCAAAAAATCCTGAGATTTTATGAGATTTGAAAATCCAGCCGCAATCCTGAAATCTCAGGACAAATCCTGAGTTATGGTAACCCTATGTGCACCAGCCAACACACGCAGCGAGCGGCGTAGTGCATTCACTCCTTAGGTATCCACTTAGAAACCGTGGAATCTTATGTATAATTGATGAATGCAACCTTATTCCGCCGCTCCGGCCTGCCAACCGAGCCGCGTTCGTTAAAAGCCAACCTCGAAACGATACAGCATAATAACTTTATTACAAAGGCATGAATCAGTCGCCCCGGGCGTCCCACGTTACGTCTCGTTATCTGCAAAACGCCGGCTTATTTACGGCCGCCGCGAAACCGCCAAAGAGAAGCAAAAAAAAAAAAACTGGTTTGACGCATACAGCGTATCAGGAAACGTTCCCATCGAATTATACTTTGTTTATCGCAGGAGAAAACGAACGCAAATTTTGTTTCTATAAGCGTCGAGAGTGGTTAAGTTATTAAAACGAGATTACGTTTTAATAGGTACAGGCCGGCCGGCTCGCCGCGGCGGCGATTGCTTTACCAATAACCTCAAAAGCGGTGGTCCAGGCTGGTTAATCGGCTCACTATATTTACACTTTACAGCAGTCCACTTAAGTTAATCGGCGTCCACTCACTTAACGCGTTATGGTAATCCGGTGGGGCGACGGGTGACACGAGCGGCCGGCGGTAGTTGACACACCTGGTGAACGCTCGGCTCAGCTTCCCGCGCTCGCTCGGATGCCGCTGCGTAATCGTTGCGACATTACTCCGTTCGCCGATCGAATGTTCCATCGACTTATCGGCCGAAGGATATGAGTCGCGCTGGTCATATGCATCGACTCGATCGACGGCGCGTGAGCTATGAGAAACCTGATCGCGACATTTTTCCTATTTACTGGCTGGTTTATGCACCGCTCTGGTATTATGCGCTCGCGATATAAGTACTTATGATAACTACGGTGTGATCGAATAACTTTCTAGTGACTTGGATATTATCAGCAATTTCGCATCTCCGTGTACCAATTTATATTCATAAAATAGCTTGTTTAACTTTCATTTGTTTAACAGTACAACTTCTACGTTTGCATTCAGCGAATCGTGCGGTCACACAGCTACACGATTTGCATGCACTTGAGATTCGCCAGAGTTTAGAACCAGTTAAACACTTGAGACGGTTATAAATAAGAGACGCTGTAGGCATCGTCTTGAGTAAATATTGAATATTCAACAGTCCTTCTGTATTAGAGGACACTCACAAATTCAAGAGTACCTAGATTTTTTGTCTTTATTTCAGTTTCGACTTCGAAATCGCTGTATTTGCTGGTTTATTGTTTATGATCAGGGTGATTGATTAGATGACATTATTATGGCTTTCATGTCTTCGATTTAATTTTCTCAATTCCTGTACAATAAAGCTTACAGTCGCTACATACACTGGTCCAACGTAGGCTACAGAACAATGGTTTATCAAAGATCATGGGTAATGTGCGCGCGCGCAACCTTCGCCACGACCTCTGCACGGCCTGTGCCACGAATTTGCGCTTCCTAGTTTCTCTGTTATCCACAGGCGGAAAACCGATCGTGTATCTACAAAAATCTAGGTTATAAGGGAATTCCAATAATTTTAAGCGATACTGTTGCGGAGTAGTTATTCAGGGATTCAATAAATTTGAAGATACATTTTTGCGAATCTAAGTGGAAAGGCGTGGTAAGTTTATACTTAGTAGATGAGGGCAAAGTAACGGCATAGTACTTAAGTGGACAACTCATTAATAATCCACCTGAACTCAAGATATGGAGCAACAAAGTTATGATAAAGCAAGCAGAAGATGTAAAAAAGTAAGTACCTACTTTAAATAGTTATGTATAACCTATCACTCAATGACTGGCGATTTTGCTGTACTCGATAATATCTTTACATTGCAATCGGTTATTGTCCCAATTTCTATGACTGTAACAATGACAAGTCAAGAAATAACAACAATCACAACTTTATAGAATTTCCAGAGTTGGACCACAAAAAAATTAGACGCTGTTTTAAACCTTGTTATAGCTAATTTTGTATGAAATTTTCTGTTCTGTTTTTTAACTCGTTTTGAACGCCTGACTGACTTTTTGTGGTTACTACGGATACGGAAGTTTTATTTTTTGTCATTTTTATAATAAGCAAAATTATTAGTATAGCTTCGAAATGTTGCAAGACAATGTTAAAATAATTGTTCTGTCTTTTAGTTTACATTTAATTTGTTCATTTAGGGTGTGATCACAGTTATGACGTTGGAAAGATCGACATTTCTAAATGGTTTTTTTCATATGCAGGTAGGTAGGTAAGAGGAATATATTTACATATGCAGATTATGCAGGCTTCTTAATGAACACAGCAATGTTATTGATCTCCATTGTGATTCATATATACCTACATATAAGTAATTGTCTTTATTATAGATTAAGCAAATTAAAAGACCTCAAAACAATACATGTAGGTAATAGTGCCCATTCAGATGCACTACTTCAATTTTTTCACTCTCTCTCATTTCTACTTAAGTATGTTGAATAAGTCTAACTACTTTGTAAAGTTGTTTAGAATATTTGCACTTTATCTTTAAAACCTTGAACAATCACAAATCGTTATATGCTAATTACCAAGTGGATTTATTAAGATTTTATAAAAGGGTGTTTTATTTTTCCTAACAACCCAAGTTCTCGAATGCGCCCGCATGCCAATAGAATACGAATGTTAATGTGAGATTTACTCGTGTAATAGACCTATGAACCTATTTCAATTAATATGCCAATGACACAGACAACCTGCACATACATACACGGGTATAATAGGTATATTATATTATATTGTTTTAATGTGCCAGACCATGACGATTGACGACACACGGTGGTCGGCATAACATGAAGCTAGATCGTCGAATCGTATATGAATGGATTAAAAATGTTGCCGGCGTCATAATAAATTGATTGCAGGAGATGTGATGCAGATATGTCCCTGTATGTTCAAGACGATTTATAGTGATTTTATTAATAGATACTTTTAATAATAAATGGAATGTAACTTGTAATAGAACATTAAAATGAC